CCAAGAACTCACTACAGAAGCCTTAGTTCAATTGAGAAAATTGAAAAGCATGCAGCGAAAGCCATTCGACTTCCGAGGTGTGTTCGAAAACGAAAGCATTTACTTCCAGGTTTTTGGCGTTCCAAAACATTTGGCTTCCGAGACACTCGAAAACTGAGGTTCCTCTATATACAACTAACGCAGAATCTTTATTTAATTGAAACATTTTTACTGTTGCTCTTTACCTAAAAATGCTCTCAGAGCTGCTTACAAAAACAAATAGAGAAAAATCAGTAACTGTAAAAATAGGTGGTGTGCAAGTTACAAAATCTTGTACAAATCCCTAGGTATAAGTGAATCGCCATTGTTAATAACCTTGTTCTGCCAGGCAGCCATGCACCACTCCAGTCCCCAAAGGCTTTTACTACTACTGGCATGTTGCTCCAGGATCTGTTTGGCAGAAATCAGGAAAAGCAGAATTGGACTGAATGGCTACAATGTGACGGTGACTACCTGCCTGCATTCCTATCCAACTTTTCTCCCTCAAACCATAAGGTTGTATTCAGTGCCCGTCCTACTCACAGTAGACCCACTGAAGTTTACACACATGACTAAATAAGGTTCATTAATTTCAGTGAACCTCCTCCAAATAGAACTTAGCTGGATATAACCCACAGGAAGTTCATTTCTTGCACATGCTTTCAGAATTTGTTCTGAAATATTTTGACATATTAAAAAGAAAATCACCAAGTGACTAGAACCAACAACCAGCAAAATATAAGTACACAAGCTTCAGTAATATACTCCAAATGACAAAAAGTCATTGCTAATCAATTAAACAGCAGATAAAAATATCCACAACAAGAATTATATATGTACTAACCTGCCATCAGTGTTATAATGTAGTTCCATAACTGCTCCGCTATGTCCTTTCAGAGTGGCATAATTATCACAGTCCCCATACACGTTCCATAACACTAGAATCAATGCAAGATCAAGATTAAATACTGAAGTCATGTTGGCATTTCCAAGTGATAAATCCTCTTAATGAATCAGATGCACTTTTCAGATCTAATGCTTAGCCTTCAAGTAGGTATAACTTCCAGAAACAGATGGTGGGTGGTGGTTGCTTTTAAGAAAAGAGCATCAATTTTTACCTGGGGAAAACTCTTCTATACCTAACAAAGGCAGTGAGAGAAAATATTCACAATCACTTCAAAGAAACTGTATTGCAGTATGTAAGCACACGAAAATGTCTGTGGTTCATCATGAATGCAAGATCAGATTCTTTTCAATTTAAAATGTTGATCTTCACACTATGTGTGTACTTTTGAGTTCACAAGTAAACCTTAGTAGATACTAGCATGCTAGTACAATGTGGCCTATGTGTTTTTAAAAAGGCTACCATCCTACTGAGTAATAGATGAAAAGAACAGATGCTCTCATCTGGCTTTCTGTTGCATCCTATGTGAACATCATGGTTTGTTTCACTTCCCAGGATTCCTGGTTCAAATTAACTGAGGTAGGGATTGTGATTGTTGCTCCCACTAGAATTAGAGGAGAAACAAACCAGGGGTTGTTTGAGCAACCATGGCAAACCATTGTTTATCATAGCATGTAAACTGGGTCAGGTATTCTTAATATTAATTTAAACTAGGGTTGCAACCTGTAACTGATTATGGACCTTTCATTAAAGCATCTATAATTAATTACTTTTCCTTATAAAACTACTGATGGCTTTTCTAGCGGATAATATCTCTTAAGATTCCCATTGTGGTGACTTCTACTCAGCCAGAGTCATCAACCTTTATGGCCTGTGGGCACCCAAGAAACTGTCATTGGCACCATGCACAGCAGACAACCACACACACATGTGTTGTCACTCCACCCCAGCCAGCAATTAGGCTTTAAAATGCCCTAATTAGTGAAGGGTGTGTAGAATTCCTGGCAAGTCCAGCTGGGGAGGCAAGAGTTAACCTTCCAGCCCCAGCTGCAATCTCCAGGAAGATTTCCCCACCGATATTTTTTTATTAATTTATTATTATTATTAATTATTATTATTATTATCTGCATACTGCCCTTCATTCATAGATCTCAAGATGGTTCACAGCATAAAAACACAAGACAAAAACACAAAATACATAATAAAAACAAAACAAAAAACTCCCACTTCCCCTCGTGCTTGGGGGTCACATAACTAGCTAGCATGCTGCAGTCATATTTGTTATCAGAATTAACCAGACAAATTGCTCCACCAACTAAGAACTGCCATACACCACCACTATCATGGAGCCAATTGAAAGCTTTTTCTAAAATCTATTTATCAAGCAGCAATTTGGGGGAAGGGTGTCACAGCTGGGGGAGAAGGATTGACCCTGACCTTCCCAGCCATGATCCCAATATCACTTCTCCCTAGTTGCAATTAGGCAGGGGTAAGACTATTGGCTACAATAGAAGATTTCATTCAATGCAAATATGAGGAGAGTGAAGTGTGGGACTCCATTGCACTCACAAGCACCATGCGGGTGACCCATCACATACACCATTAAAACTTTGGTATTAGTCATACATAAGTTTACTTTTAATTAATTAAATTAGCTTACTTTGGTTGATTTACTGTTATGTGTCCTTGGTTAATTTAATATGCTGTATGCTTTTCTTTAAAAAAAGCACACAACTAACCCAATTAGTTTTAAGCAAACAAATTGTATTTAGAAGTTTATAACGTAGACTTACATATCAACCTGTCGAATCCAGCTGATGCTAAGGTGGCTCCATTAGGATGAAACTTACAACAGTAAACTTCTCCTTCATGCCCCGAAAGCAACATTATAGGTGCCTGGAGAGAGGAACATCTTGGGGGGCCCTGAAATATGAAAAAATTCAGAATACCCAACAAGCTATAAGAGAGTCTGCATCCAAATGCAGAAAAGAAGACTATTACTCATAAACCAGTGATGAGGAACCTGTAGCACACAAGATGTTGGACCCCAACAGCCTCAGCAAACATGGCTAATGATCTGAGATTATAAGAATTATAGTCCGATATCATCTGGAGGGCAACTGGCTCTCCATCCCTGATCTAATGTCTTGTGGCAAAGGTAAGCACTTCCACCAGTCTGAAAACATGACAATTTAGCCCTGAAGATTAATTCTAAAAGCTGTAACACAAACCACTTACAGTTTCAACAAGTGCATTAAAATACCCTAACCTTGTTCCGTTCAGATGTTTTGGACAATAGCACTCTTCAATGCTAACCACTGAGCAGGCTAGTTGGGGCTGATGGGAATTGTAGTGTAATATCTGGAGGGCCTTGCAAGGATTATCCCTGGATTTTGGTATAAAAATGACTGGCAATTGGCTCCCGCTGAGAAAATAACTTCTAAATTACGAAAAGAACAGAAAAACAAATTTTATGTAACATGGTGGTCATTTACTCAATATATAAATAAAACTGTCCTTAAAGATAAAGCATTGTTGAAGACATGGCTATCCTGAACAGTATGGCTTGCACTACATTCTTCTCTGGAATGACTCTTTGTGACTGATAAATCAAATTTTGTATTGGGGCATTATAGGCTGGCTATTTGGATATCTTGTGCTGAGTAATAATAATTATTTATGATAATGTACAACCTGACACCTCTTATGGGGGTGGTGATGTTATATATTTGTTAGAATGTCCAAAAACCAATAAAAATATTTAATAAAAAACAACAACAACAACCCAGGAGTGTGTTGGGGAAGGCTGGTCTAACTGATCACCCAGGTGAAATAAAAAATCAGTAACTAATGCAAACTAATTATAGTCACTGGGTGCTCAATGGTCATTCTCGCAGCCATGTGTGCTATTAAAATACTGAGCTAGAGGAACCCATAGACTCAGCATAAGACAGCTTTCTATATCTGTTACTCTAAACACTAATCACAGTTACAGAACCACAACGATGGCAATGAAAAGCTATTTTGACCACTCATTCAAAACGATGTAGTTCTGTGTAACAGAATGGACCTTTCCCTTTAACAACTACCTCCACTGCTTATTCTCCTCTTTTCAGAATGCTAGCCCCTCAAGACTCCCCCATTAGTTCACACTACACACACACACACACACACACACACAGTGTTTCTAAGACTAGTGCGGTGCAGCAGTTGGTATGTTGGACTGTAAGAGACTTTCAGTGTTGGGAGTATAACACTGCCAGACGTTGTTGGACCACCATCATTCCTGGACCACTGGTCTCTCTAGCCAGGGATTATGGGAGTTGTAGTCCAACCAACGGGCAGGGGTACCTTTACCTTTACCTAGTCCAACCATACCTGGCGACCCCCAGGTTGAGAAATTTGGACTATATACCATGTGCACCTGGACTACTTCTGGGTGGCGTAGTGGTTAGAGTGCTGAAGGGAAAAAACGCGATATAAACGCAATAAACAAACAAACGGACAGGGAATCGCGAGGCCGTCCAGAGGTTCGCACCGCATCTCCCGTCATCCCTAACCGTGGGCTACGCTGGCAAGGGCTGCTGGGAGTTGTAGTCCCACAGCATTTAAGCTGCCTCAGGGTTCCCCGTCTCCGCTTTAAGGCCTCACTCGCTATAACGGCGAGGTAATAATGCATATTAAAAGAGAGCGGTTGGGCGCGCGGCCTCCGCTCCTCAGGGCACTCACCGCCTGCAACAAGGCGCCCGGGGGCGGCTGCCCAGCGCCAGGCCCCGGCCCCAGGATAAGCTCGTGGCGGGGCTTCTTAGCCCCGGACGCCGTCGCTACCAGAGCCATATCCGGGCCGGGCGCTTTCCGTTTCTGCGGGTCGATCATCGTGCTCCTTCGTCGAAAAGGTCTCGATTCCCCTCAAGGCCTCAGAGGCGCGTCAAATTGAGGGGAAACTGACCCCTCAACGGGCCTCCCCGTTCCGATTGGCGGCTCCCTACCAAGGGCCCGCCCCCTCCGCGACGTCTCATTCGCGGACGCTATCCTTCCTCCTCGCGGCTGCTCTCGCGCCGCTTCAGCACGGAGCCTGGCCCTGATTGGTGGAGCCGGCGCAGACGTTAGACCTCGCGTGGCCGGCGCTGGAGAGGAGAGGCGGAGCGGGACGGGCAAGGGAGACGGCGGTTGCTGTGGGGATTTTCGTTGTCTCCCGAAGGTGGTAAGTCGGTGGGAGAAGGAGGAAAGGGAGGAAGGGCTGTGGGGATGGGAGAGAGTTCGGGCCTTCACTCCACGTAGGCCTACTCGGGAGTAGGCCCCACTGTCTTCAATGGGCATTGCACGCAGGTAACTGGGTGGAGGTGGAGGAGGCGGCCTTCCAAAATAAATCAACTCGGATCATTTTTTTCCTTGGTGGAGTCGAGATTCCTATTCAGATCCGGCGAGTTATTTACATGGCCTCTGGGATCCCAAAATCATTGAGGAGAAAGTGATAGTTCACAGTGTCCACCCATACAAGACCATTCAACAATAATCGGTTGAGGCAATCTCTCCTAATAAACATTTATTATAATGACACTACGCAGGAGGAACGTCTGGGAATGGGAGGTTTCCCTCCCATTACAGAACAGCTACAAAAATTATTATTTTTAGCTGACAAATATTTGTAAACATTCAGCGTTTGAATTCTAGGGGTGGTGAAGATGCATTTCAAACTGCACAAAGAATGTAACTAAGGACCACAGTGTGTAATGGTAACTTTATTATTTATACCCCTCCCATCTGGCTGGGTTTCCCCAGTCACTCTGGGCGGCTTACAGCATGTCTGAAAACATAATGAAAACATCAAGCATTAAAAACCTCCCGATACAGGGCTGCCTTCAGATGTCTTCTAAAAGTTGAGCAATTCTTTTATCCCCTTGACAGTTCAACAGGGAGGGCACCACTACCGAGAAGTCCCCCTCTGCCTGGTTCCCTGTAACTTTTCTTTTCGCAGTAAGGGAACCAGCAGAAGGACCTCAGGGCTGAGCAATGGGGGTGGAGATGCTTCTTCTGGACTGAGGCCATTTAGACTTTGAATTATGCTCAGAAATGTACCGTGTAAAAGGAACAGGGTTTCCACATGGTTAAATTTGGGATTTTGTGAATTATTGAGCATTTTAGGTACAGAGGTACCTTGGTTTACAAACTTAATCCGTTCCAGAAATCTGTTCTTTAACCAAAGCATTCTTAAACCAAGGCGTGCTTTCCCATAGCAGCGAGGGACTCAATTTACAAATGGAACACACTCAACAGGAAGCGGAACATGTTCTGCTTCCAAGGCAAAGTTCACAAACCCAAACACCTACTTCTGGGTTTGCAGCATTCTTAATCCAAGTTGGTCATAAACTAAGCTGTTCTTAAACCAAGGTACCACTGTACAGTGGTACCTCTGGGTATGAACTGGATCCGTTCCGGAGCCCTGTTCGCATCCAGAAACAAACGCAACTCGCATCTGCGTGTGCGCGGGTCATGATTTGCCGCTTCTGTGCATGTGCGTGACATCATTTTGACCATCTGCACATGCGCGATGGGTGAAACCCGGAAGTAACGCATTCCGTTACTTCCGGGTCGCCGCGGAGTGCAACCCGAAAGCGCTCAACCAGAAGCAACTTCAACCCGAGGTATGACTGTACTAGGGTGCCGCTAATAATGAGTGAAGGAGAAGCACTTTAAAACATCTGGGTACTGCCTAAATAATTTGGAAATTAGTATATGAGTGAGTGTCTTTGATTGCATTTCAGCAAAAGAGATTTATGCTTCCAAGGGATAACGAAAAATCTGGCCAGGAGATTTGTGGGAACTTCTCATAATTTAAGGCAATGGAAGTAATTCCAGAACTCTATGATATTTTCCAAGGAGAGGTATGTGCTGAAACTGTTACTTTTCAGAATGTAATGAGCTTTGAAATATTTATGTCTGCATCAGATTGAACTATTTAAATTGTCTTATGGACACAGCCCAGATTTAAAATATATTCAGAACAAATGCTTGAAAAAAGTAAGAATATCAAATGACCCATGTTTAGCATTATTTGCGTATATTAAAGGATTAGATGTGCAAGAAGGTCAGAAAGTTATCATTCATCTCTCAACTGTAGCCCAAATGACTAGCAGAAACATGGTAAAAGCAGAAGACCCACAAATAGCAAGACTGGCTAATTAAACATTGCCCAAATATCATTAAAGTAACTAATTACTAATATCATTAAAGTAAGGTAGATGGGACAGCAGGAAATAATGTTATTGAAAAGTTGAGCTTTTATATAGCTTATTAGAATGAAAAAGATAATGAAATAATGAAGCATCATGTGCTTTTGAGCGAAATATAATACCATAATGAAAAGCTATATGTTCCTGGCAGAAAAATAAATGCTATTTAATATAGGCAAATATTATTGAAATTGATTGTTAAATATTGAGATATGATATAACCATACACATGATTAAATTGACTTTGGGGAAGGGAGAATATTATTACTAATAATGAAAGTAAGGATAGTAAAAAATGATAGTAGATAAATGCATGCAAATTTAAGAGGAGAAAGTACTCTCATCATTAACTTATTTAAATAAGTGACCTTATTTTGCAATTTTCCTTTTCCCTTTTCTACATGAATTTATATGTTTTACATATGTGCTTATATCCGTTTTGGAGAGCTTTCCGCTTTATATTTTGGCAACTGGAAAAAAAAGAGAAAGTAGTAAAAAAGCTGCAAGCCTGAACAAGGAACTTATGTCTGAGTAAATAAGAATGAATAGTCTTAATATTCCTCTTAACAGCGCAGTCATGTTATCTTTTTACTCCTGAAAAAATCCATAGACTTGGATAGGATATATCTGAAATAGGGAATTCTTCCTTTTGCAGCCTTGTAAACGAGCCCATAAGTTTATACCCTGTAAAATGTTTTGGTACCCTGCTGGGGTCTGACAGAAGAGGAATGGAGAGCTCAATCCTTCCTGCAGCAGCTTGCTGAATTTTTATGATGGTTATGGAGGTGGGGCCTTCCATTCTTCAAAAGCTTGCTTAGTTACTATTCTGATCTCAGCGGTGAAACAGAGTGCTCTTTTCCTCCTCTGCTAGTCTGCACATATGCACACAGAATTCCATGTAGTTGCCTGCATGCAATCTCATTGTCACTCATTACTGCCGGCCTGGTGCTTAAATACAAGGGTTGGATTTTGGCAGGCTTCATTGAGACCAGGTATTCAGGTTTCAAATGTCTCAGTGGCTATTTTTGGTTTGATACCTTATAATTTATAACTCATAGTGTGAACCTGGGTATCTCTGCTTGAAAGTAAGCCCCACTGACTTCAGTTAGACTTGTATTAAGATAATAATTGGATTGCAGTCTAAATAGTAGACTGCTTTTGAAATGTACAACATGGAATGAGATGGGGAGGAGCCATACCTGCACATAAACATCCCAAGTTCAGTTCCTGCCATGTCTAGGTAAAGAGGTCAGATAGCCATTGATGAGAAAAACTTCTTCCTGAAACTCTGATAGTGTCACAGTAGACAATACTGGATTAGATGAAAAGTTCCTATAGGGAAATAGAATGCCAACCCTTTTTGACCAATAATTGTTATTTTCTTTACAGGTTGCTTCTGTGACAGAATATGGAGCATTCATTAAAATTCCAGGAACTAGGAAGCAAGGTATGGATCTCTATCAGTTGTATTAAATGGTGTTTTGGTTTTTATAGTAAAAGATTAGAAATCAGAATACAGTGTTAACCCATTAGGATTCTTAAGACATTTCTGTTCATTTCATCTGTCAAAGAACATTATTTAACAAACTTTTTTTCTCCGTCATACTTCTTCTTAGGCCTCGTACACAAAAGTCACATGTCAAACTGCAGGGTGGACCAGCCCTCAGAGTTGGTGGATGTGGGAGAAAAAGTGTGGGTGAAACTTATAGGAAAAGAGGTAAACATTACTGTCCTGTTTCTGAGGTGATTGTAAAATAGGATTTTGCACTTAAACAAATTACATGAAGGTTTTTGTTAAGAAAGAAGTACACACTGATCAGCTTTTTACTTTGAAGAACGTACCCCACTGTCTTGTCAATGGCTGATGTTGCATTTATGTTAACATTGAATTAATGATGAGAGGCCCGGTGGGAAAACAAGAGGTGCAGTACTAGCTGTGATGACTCTTTGGTCGGAGTGTTTTCCCTTCTGTGTAGAAATGTTCCTCATCACAAACCCCCTGTTGATTTTTTCCTTGAGGTCTGACCAAAAAAAATTCAAAAGAATATTTCCTTGTCTTTCAGAAGACAGATGAGAAGTTAAAATTGTCTCTTTCAATGAAGGTTGTTAATCAAGGAACTGGAAAAGACCTGGACCCCAACAATGTGACCCTCGAGTAAGCAAAATATGTTGCACTTATGTGGGGGTATGGACTTTATTGCATTGCTTCCTTTTTTATTCTTTCATTTCCCCCTTTATCCCCAGGATGTGTGGTCCTCCAGATGTTGGACTGTAACTCCCACCCCACCCTATCAGCATGACCAGTGGTCAGGGATGATGGAAGTTATATTCCAACAATATCAAGAGGCCATGGTTTCCCCATCCTTGCTGTATCCCAATGGGCAGTGGTGCTGCTAGGGCCAAATTTCTGGGTGCATATCTGTGACTTTGCAGCCCAGGTGGCTCCAAATGACCCGAGAGACCAAGCAGCAGCCAGCAGGACAGGATGTGGTGGTTCCACTGTGACAGCAGCCAACATTCCAGCAAGTTGGAATCCTTTTTATTGATTTCCCCCAGGGCAAGAGTGAAAGTGAGGAGAGCCATTCAGATTCTGCCTTGGGGTTGTTGGACCAATGAAGACACAGGGGCAGCCGCAGAACTTTCATTGGTTCAGCTACCGCAAGATGATGTCTGATTAGCTTAGCTTGATTTCACTCTTGTCCTAGGAAAAATAATTTAAAATTAAATGGTGTATAGTTTGCTGGAGCAGAGCCTCTGTTGCCAGGGCAGAACTATCTTTTTCATGTATTCTGGAAGGTAACCTGCATCTGCCCTGAGATATCTCCTCTTCCCAAAGACTACAGAACCCCCCCAAAGTCGGATAGCAATAAGCTCCCCTCTGTCAAAAAGCCACACACAAAGAAAAGGAGACCTGCTATTCCCAATTGCTTCAAAACAGACCACATGAGAAGCAAAAGGCAGGGAGCAAGGATGTGCCTTGCACAGGGTGCTATTGTTGCATGAATCCTGCTTGTTCCAATTGGCTGGGGAGAGTACCCTGTCCGCATTGATTTATGTGGGTCCCCTGGAAGACACATTGATTGGTGCTCCCCACAAGCTGCAGGCCATGTTTAAAAATGTCTGACTTAATTTCTGACGTAAAGCTCCTTAGAATTTTGCTATTGGCTTCAGCTGAACTAGGATTATACCTCAAAACAAATGGTTTTGTCTGTGACTAAAATCTTTTATGTCTGCACACAGTCAAGATGCACGGAAGAAAGGCTCATTCAAAGACTACACCAGCCAGAAGATCACTCTAGAAGCAGTCTTAAACACAGTTTGCAAAAAGTGTGGCTGTCCAGGTATGTTGAGGTCAAATTCCTATTTATTTATTTATTTATTTATTTATTTGTAACATTTGTGTCATATTGCCATAACCTTTAAGGTATTGGGTCTTACCTTTGTGTATTTACAACACAAGTGAGAACTGGGCCACTTCTTTCTAACTGAGTTATTGGGATTCAAATAATAACTCATCCCTGTAGCTCTTGCTTGGTGGCCATGGTCCAGCTGCTGTATCTCAACCTAATCTATCTCACAGGGCTGTTGGGAAGGTAGAAAGGGGTGGGGTGCACTTTTTTTTTGCCAAAGGGTGGGATAATTGTTTGTTTAATAATAATGCAGCAAGGGCAGCGAAACTTTGAAATATTGTTCACAACATCTTCAAACTTAATTGTGAAGCTATGAATGTTAGAAATATTCAGGGGGTGTTATTACAGCACAAGTGAGAACCGGACCACTTCTTTCTAACTGGGTTTTGGGGTAGTCAAGTCTGCTTATCCATCAAACTTGGCAGCAATATCCATATTTGTATAAATTATACTTGCAAATATACCTTATACAAATATACCTTATGCCAAAGGGCTGGGGTGTTTTGTTTGGGGGAAAGTTGTTGCCATTGTTTCTTTGTATACTTTAGGTTTTCTTGTGATTTATTTGGAAATTTTTCAGTTTGGTTTGTATTTTTTTAAATGTATTTTTATTAAAGTTGGTTTGTATTTTTAATATTTATTGTCTGTGAATATTTTTGTTAATTGTTTTTTATGGTGGTTTTTATGTTGTAAGCTGCCTTGAGGATGGTTTGAACGGTGGAAAGGAGGCATACAAATAAAATTATGTACCGTATTTTTCGCCCTATAGGACGCACCGTCCCATAAGGCGCACCTAGTTTTTTTGGGGGGGGGAATAAAGGGGGGGAAAATTTATTCCCCCCCCCCAGGCGCGGGGCTGGGGCGGGGGAAGCCCGAGCTTCCCCCGACCCCAGCCCCCAAACAGGCAGCTCTCTGCAAGCCGTGGGAGCCCAGCGCTGGCTCCCGCTGCTTGCGGAGAGGTGCGCGAAGGCTGGACGCGCTGAGCTCAGCGCGCGCAGGTTCAGCATGCAGGCAACTCTCCGCAAGCAGCGGGAGCCCAGCGCCGGGCTCCCGCTGCTTGCAGAGAGGTCCGCAAAGCCTGGAGAGCTAGAGGGCCGACCCCTCTCGCTCCCCAGGCTTCAGCGAAAGCCTGCATTTGCCCCATAGGACGCACACACATTTCCCCTTCATTTTTGGAGGGGAGAAAGTGTTTCCTATAAGGCGAAAAATACGGTATGTATGTATGTATGTATGTATGTATAAAAGTAATAAAGTCCTCAGTCACAAATACCAGCATGAGTGGATGTGGAAATCAGCAATTCCCAGGCATGCTGTAGGTAGAACTCTTACCTCCTGCTCCAGTATAGCCAACACAAGCTTGCTTTGCAGCCTTCCTCTTGCAGTTTCAGGAACTACAGGCCATAATGGTAAAACTTTCTGTAGCTAGAAAAGATGAATAGTGCTGTGTTACTTTAAGGTAGTAGAAAACACGGTAGGGGCGGAGAGGTGGTAACCAACAAAGTTTGTTTTAGTTTTTTAATTTTTTAAAAACATTGTGTTGAAGGTCATTTTGCAAAAGATTGCTTTGTGCAGCCAGGAGGGACCAAGTATACCCTGATTCCAGAGGAAGAAGAAATCCCTCCAGAAGAAGAAAAGAAGGCACATAAATCTGAAGATTTTGTGAAGAAGAGAAAAAAGGTAAAAGATTGGCTGACAGGATTGAGTACAGGTAACAGTTCAATTGCCACATTCATTGAGAACAAGCTCAGCAAGCTGCCAGTTACAATGATGTCAGCAATCTTGTACATAAAAGTAAGTCCATTTGAATCCCAGTGTCTATAGGGAGTGGGCCTTTGCACTTTTTAAAAAGCTCTTTTCCCCCCAAAGGGCTATCTAAACATACTTAAAGAGTAAAAAATATTTGGTGCTCTGTGCTTAGGATGTTTAATTTTCTTATCCAGGGGCAAAACTAGGCTTTATGTGACCCAAGTCAAAGACCCAATTTGGCATGCACGCGCTCTCTCTCTCTCTCTCTCTCTCTCACACACACACACACACACACACACACACAGGTTGGGAGCCTCAGTGACGCTCCTCTGAAGGCGTCAACCAGGGCAAAAACCCAGCTAGCTCCCCCATAGTTACAGCACTGTTGTACCTTCACTTTTTCCTCGATTTTATTCTTATAGTTTCTGTATTCTTATCCTGCCTTGGATATTTTAGAAAAAGGTGGGATCTAAATCTTGGTAATAAATAAGTGCTGCCCCCTTTTCATTTTAGCACTTTGTATTTTGACAACTGTTGCTGCTTTACCATCTTAAGAAGGGTTAGGAGCTCTGTATCTGACTTCTTTTTAGGTTTCTGTTCAGTTTTTGCAAATACTGTTGCTGCAAAATGCAGCTTGGATCAGTGAGTAGCAGGGCCAGTTTGCATATAACATTAAGCCAAATAATAGTTTGGCGCATATTAGCAAACATGCAGGTTTAGCTACTCAGCATCAGTCCTGGGTGAAAAGCTCAACGGCTCCAATCTACCCTTAAGGAACCTGCCCGTTTGCTAGCTAGCACTAAGCCATAGTTCTTCTTAGTATTACATGTGAACCGGTTTTTAGGGAATTGTTTCCTAATACTCTCCAACAGAAAAGCTTACACACACTAATGTATTCTCTCTAACAGGAAAAAAAGAGAAAAAAGAAACACAAGAGCAAAACTCCTTCCGAACTGGGGGATTCTGACAGTGGTGAGTCAGATGCTGATGATGTTCAGCCATCAAGGAAGAAAGCAAAACGGACTGAAAAAGCTAGCGCATCCCAAAAGCGAAAAAAGAAGAAGCATCATAAGAAGAAGCACAAGGACTGAGAAGCGGATCCAAGGCCGTAGGCTGTGCTGACACAGTGTGCACCCTCTGGGCTCCTGTAATCTGCTGGAGAGAAAAAATAGTTGAGCTAGTGCAACTTGCATTATAACAAAAGGGGATTCCTCCTTTGTAAAGCAACGTTGTTTTCCTACAATTTTTTTCCACAAGGACTGCCACTTTTCTCTACATGGAAGAAGCCAGCTGCAGTTAGGTGTTCCTTGCCACAGATGTTGCCCTCATTCATGTGAAACGCTTCTCCTTCTATAGCTCCTTTTTCTTCTGGGCCTTGTGCCAGGCAGTTCCTTTGGAGCAACCCAGAGCCATCTCCATGAAGCATGCATGGCACTGGCAATCAGTGCAGCTTCCTTAGCCAAGGTGGCAGCTGTGTGTTGATTCAGCATCTCGCCAGTCATTCTCCGCACGCCAGCAGAAAGAGCAGTAGACTCATCTTCTTGGCTGGTCGATTTGTTCTGCACTGGTCACCCCACTGCATTTTTGCTCCATTCATACTGCAGTACTGGAGGAAGAAAAAAAATAATTATCTGAGTATCCCTAGGGGTTGCAAAAGCACAAATCAAAATGTGAAGACAAGCTTTGTGCTTATATTGCTAGCCATTTAAACTCTGAAATAAAGCCTTTTTTCCCTCCCAGGGTATGATCCCTTTCTGTTACATTTTGGCCAATGGAACAGCTGGGTAATAGAAAGGAAGTAGTCTTTCTGTTGGATACAAAATAGTCTTTAGGGTGTGGCTATTTTCCCAGGCTTGCTTTAGTTGTCTATTAAACGGCAATCTATGGTCAGCTTGTTTGTTTATTACACTTATTTGTGCTTCTGTCATAATGCAGCTGAAGATAACATAGTCTCCCTTTGAGACAGTGACCTAGCACAGCTTAGTTTCACTGGGGTTACTATATTGTTTGTGGTGTTTATTTTAGACTACTTTTTTTTTAATGATATTTATTACTTTTTCAACATTTTCAACACAACACTACTACCTAGTCATCAGTTCTTTCAGAAAGAGTGCAAGAGCCCTTCTACGTTCTGCGCAAGTGCTTCCGTCAAAACCATGACAAGGGAAAGTGTTTTTCCATGCTGGGTGTGTCACTATGAACTATCTAGGAAGTCTCTGCCAAAATCCTCTGCTATGAGGCTGCTTCAGTTGGTTTGCTAACCACACGATGTCAGGCAAGTAGAATGAGAGCTCTTATTCCATGGATGATTCACTGCTTGTGGACATCATACACCTGACTGCCTTTCCTAATGACAATAAATCAGGCATTCTACTGGCCTGGTTTACACATCACATTAAACTGTGGCTAAAGGAAAATGTAATTAAATGTGGACAAGCAGTCTCTGGGTTGATGCTGCTGAAATCATAGGTTCTTTGCTCCTCTCCTGCTTGGAAGGAAGCCAGTTAGGCTTGTCATGACCTGGTGTGAACCTGTGGTTTGTTTCCCCATAAGCATAAGCCTGGGTTTAGGCAACACAAAATTCTGGAATCTTTCCTTGCAGGTAAGGAGTAAAGCATCAACACTGTTAGTGTGCTCTAGCATGCTACTCATATATATTAAATGATAGCTTATTTTAACTATGGTTTAATGCAGCCCTCCAGCCTTGGTGGTTTCCAGGTGCTACAACTCCCAACAGCCCAAGCCAGGATAGCAGTGCATGGCTAGGTTGTGGGAGTTGTAGTCCAAAGCAATTGCAGGGTAGTAAATGGGAGAAGGCTGGTTTGATATGATGTGCAAACCAGGTCCACTTGGTTTTAGTGAAGGGGAAACAGTCATTCTCACCCAGTGCTTTGTTGCTGGAGAATGCCAGTTGGTTCGCAATTGCCTGCAATTAGTCTTTGACCTGTCTTGTAGGCTGCTTGCTTTTTAAAAAAGAATTTTGCTCTTCACTCATGCTTCTTAAGCGAGTTTACATGCGAAGAATTGATGGAGGATCTGAACTATCCAGCCCACCAGCAGTATAATTGTAGTAGTAGTAGTAGTAAAGCTAAAAAGTCTGAATGAATAAGGTGGTGTTCTGGCATTGAAAGATAACCAAATAGGCACCAATAAGGTGGCCAGTCTGCCACTGGCTTCTGGTGTGGGCACCCAGAGGACAGCCTCCAAAAATGACAGTGCATGAGCAGAGTGACATGGGAACCGTTGTGGCTTCAGGTTTCCATGGGTCCCAAGCTGTGTAGAGCTTTAAAGGTAAGCAGCAGCACTTTGAAATTACCTTTAAAAATGTACTGGCAGACACTGTGCTGTACTGGCCAGATGCATTCTCAAAGATCAGCACCAGTTAATCGTTAATTACGGCATTATACAATGCCTCTTATTCTCTTTCTCTGCCCCGCCCTCTGAGCATGAGGTTGTTCTAAAGGGCTGTCAAGAGCTTCTTAAGGAGTTTTGCAGACTCCTTAAGCGATGATGATCTGATGATTGGAAGATTTTTAAGCCCTGCCTTTCAAAGGAGCACATGAGTTAACACATTCCTGACCACTTCTCTATCACTGACAGAATGGAAATTCACAGTAAATCATTTAATAATAAGTTTTTAAAAACCCGTTTTAAAAAAGCTAGGATTTTCAAGAAGCTGGATTCAATCCCAGACATACTTCCTGGCCAGTCCTGATATGCATGTTCCATGCCAGCTGCAAACATGTCTGAGATGGGTGCTTTTAGAAAGTAACAGCTAAAACCATCTACTAGCCATGTGCTTTTAAAAAGGGAAAATAGCATCATACTTGATTCTCAATGATAAGTTCATTGATATGCAAATAGATTTTACTTTTTGGTCAGCATCTTCAGTGTCCGAAACAGCTGGGTTCTGATTCTTTACTGGCATGCTTCAGTAGTAACACCTGCTGCAAGGCATAGTTCTTATGGACTGCAGCATAATCTCCAATGCAAGACCACAGCTGGTGTGTTTTAAAGCAGTATGTATACTCCACATGGATGAGGATGAGTTGACATTATTCTAGGTGTAGTTACAATTCTCTAGTCTGCAATATTTATATTTTAATTTGTGGATGTTCTACTTTCTACTTTCTAAAAATTGGGACTCTAGTAATTAAAAATCTGGGTTTCTTTTCCTTCTGATTTCTGAGCTTCTGCTCATGTTGCTGTACTCCCAACCAATATAAATGGGGAAAACCATTTAAGGATTCTTAATACATGTTCAGATGGCCCCACACCAAGGCATTGGTTTGTAGCCTTCAGTACCACAACAGTGCATTCTGACATAGTGAGCTGGTCTTCTTTCAATAAATGTCTATATGATCTCACTATATTGTACTTTGTGTATTTTTTATGTTGAACTAAGACACTATCAGAAGTCATTTTGTGACCAGCACCCACAGACCTTTCTCAAATATGGGCCTATTGTCCCCCAAATGGTTGGTAATTCAGATTCTAAAAGATCCTGAAACCAAACATTGTAAGCAACGTAAACTGCATCTTGCAAGCAGCATCCTCATGTCTTTGTTGCCTGCATTTCTCAAAACATAACATGTAAAATAATGTCAGAATACGTTTGACTAGCCATATAAGTGGGGGGGGGGCAGTGGAAATCACACAACAGATTTTTAAATGAAAACCACACTTTAATATTAGGAAACTTTAATATTAGGCATCCACAACTCCAGACAAACCTGTTTAGATCAGGTTACCTTAACTGAAGAGAAACACCAGGAAAACACCCCCCTATTTTAAAGTCACTGAAACATCTTTGCTTTGTCTGAAGCTTGGATAATGACTTGCATAGTTCAGCCAAGAGAGCTTCCATATCAAATTGCTTGAAGGTGAGTGTGACAGACAGGCCTCAGATCTGCCTTGTGACCCAGCAACCAGTTGGTGCTAGCATACAGATCAGCTAATCAGAGAGGGAAATTAACCATCAAATAGGGATGGGGAGTGTCCAACAGCAAACAGGCAGGGATTGTATGTGGGTTAGACAGGGACCTAGGTATGGAGTCAGGGACTTTGTATAGGCAGAAGGGGTCTCTGGCTATCTAAAGTGGGGTCTCACAGTGTTTATCTGCTAGGGGAAGCTAATAGCACATCTGTAAGTGGGCAGACAAGGTTCAGTCTAGCTGAGGGGGAAGGCTGAGATCATAGGAAGGGGCTGGAAGGTTTTATAGTGTAGAAGTATAGCCATCCTACAAAGAAAAAAATTATCTGACAGGTTGAAAGTGTTGCATTCAGATATTGAATACAGTATATCTGTATCTGCTTGAAACAAAGTATTGCACCTTGCAGTGGTAAACCATCAAGTGTAAACAAAGTTTCTGCTTTGTTTTAGAATAACCTCATTCTTAACTTTGGTCTTTTGGGTGAAGGGATTAATTGGTCCATATTCCCTTGCACTCAGTTTTAACCTGGCCAGCAAAAATGTCACCACAAACAGTCAATCCAATAGCTGGGTCTTAAGACGCCACAATGCGAGACACCTTTAGGTCCTGTGGCTCCTTAATACGATCCTCATCTGACAAATCAGCTTGGCTTTGTAAAACAATAGACTGTCAAGGTTTAGTCTGTATGCAACACGCTTGAACCACAGGACTGATTCTGCAGCTCTGTAACACAGTTGCCATCCGGCCAGCAGGCAAGGGTGAGGCTATAGTAACAGCGAGTACCTGTAATCATACCAATTAATTTAATTAGACCAGATAATGCTAGGGCTCTGATCTGTTTAACCACCATAAACATCCATTTTGATGGTTGGCAGAGGAGGAGGAATGCATTTTCAATAAAATGAACTAGAGTTGGGGAACCTTGGGATCAAGCTGTGACATTCCAGATCTACAGTGGTACCTCGGGTTAAGAACTTAATTTGTTCTGGAGGTCCGTTCTTAACCTGAAACTGTTCTTAACCTGAAGCACCACTTTAGCTAATGGGGACTCCCGCTGCTGCCATCGCACAATTTCTGTTCTCATCCTGAAGCAAAGACCTGAGGTACTATTTCTGGGTTAGCGGAGTCTGTAACCTGAAGCATATGTAACCTGAGGTACCACTGTATCTGTTTAGCCCTTGGGATTCTCCACAAGCCACACCCCTCACCAGACCTGGCTCCACCCCTCCTGCAGTGTTCAACTATAACCATGTCTCTTTGTTTGCATTGTGCGAGTTGTGTGTGTAGAAATGTTGCTGCTGGAAAGCACCCTACTATTAGGAGTCTGTGCCTCTGGCCCAGCTCATCACTACCACATGGCTCCCTAAAGGTTGCTTGTGAAGGAATGTGGCCCCCGGGCTGAAAAGCTTCCCCCCCCACACACAAATGGAATGATTTATTAGTCATAATCCCAGTTATGTCATCAAGGGTGAGCAGACAGAGACCCAGCCAGACACCATTACACAACTATTTCAAGTTTATTACTTCCACATAGCTTATTTCTGCCTCGCCCACTTCTTCAGTATTAAAAAAAAAAGCAATGAAAGAAAAGAAAACCTCAAAGATCAGGGTGAGAGAGTTCAAGTTGCATACTGAACAGATTCAAAAAGGTTCAACAACTATACAAAAAACACTTGTGGGGAGGAAGGGAATCACAAAGGCAATTTGGCAACAAGTTTGGCATTGGATGACTTGGCAAGAGAACAGGTACAGGCTCTTATTCCGCTTTTTGATAGGTACGGGTGCAGACCACGGTGCCCATCGTCAGAGTCTGAAAGAGAAGAAAAGGTAAGCAAGTCTTAGCCCAAAAAACCCTGTGACCCCCCAGGAGGCCTGTTATAGACTGTATAATGACTTAGTCTTGGGGCATTACTTACAAAACCATAAGGGTGGGCTAATATCTAATGTATATTTTGGAAAGAGGTTTGACTGTCTATTCTCCATAGGTTTGGCTGCCTCTTGAAATATCATTGCCAAACATGGCAGAAGGGTTTCCAGGCTGGGTGCTGAAGGCTTTGTCACCATATTGGTGACACCATCTTGAATCAAGATGGCGGACCAGGATGGGACTTTAGTTTGACCTTTTTTTTGCATAGGTTTGGCTCTTGAGATATCATTGCCAAACTTGGCACGAGGGTTCCCAGGGTGGGGCAGTGCCTCCACCGTCAAGGATTGTATGTACTTGTCTAAAGCACAAATTTGAAAAAGAACAACAACCCTGCAGCCTGATTAAGTGGGCACCTCTTGCGGTTGATCAAAATGTTTCTAATTGATATTGCCAGCCAACCATTAAATTGCAGAGGCAGCCAAAGTAAAGAGTTACTTGCTTGTTTTTTTCCAGGCACATTTTCATGTGACCAGGGGTGGGGTGGGATTGGAGGCAGGTTAAATAGTTTCCAGGAGTGATTTCCTTCCCTTGCAGTTTTCTCTTCAAATTTTTAACTTGCCCATGTAGGCCGCAGGTAAAGAGCAGCGTACTTTGGCTTACCAAAATCAACTTTCCGTCCTTCAGTTCTCGGACTAGCGAGGTCTCCTTCCCATCCCATTTCTGCACATGAAGGAGCTTCCCTCCGTCTAGTGTCACAAGGGACTGAAAGAAAGAAATCAAATCAAGCTCGTTAGAGAGCCGCAGAATTGTGGTTTGTAACAGAAAAGAATTCTGAGTTCCACAAGCGCAACACAGAGGAGGAAGGCGGACAGACAGTTTTATCCCTTGGGTGGGTTGTAAGCAAGGCCCCATCTGCACTATGGATTTAAGGCAGTATCAACCCACTTTAAACAGCCATGGCTTCCTCCAAAAAATCCTGGGAGCTTTGTTAAGGATGCTGAGAGTTGTTAGGAAGTCCCTATTCCTGTCCCAGAGCTGCAATTTCTAGAGTGGTTGAATCATTTCCCCCAGGAAACCTTGGGAAGTGTAGCTCTTGAGGAAGAACAGGGGTCTCTTAACAATGCTCCACATCTTTGTACCCATTACTTGGCCAAAGAACCACAGTGAAAAATAAAATAATAATTAATTATAGTTCCCTCTGGGAGGCTTCCAACAAAATATTAAAATACAATAGTCTGTTAAACATTAAAAGCTTCCCTAAACAGGGCTGCCTTCAGATGTCTTCTAAAAGTCTGGTAGTTGTTTTTCTCTTTGACATCTGGTGGGAGGGCGTTCCACAGGGCGGGCGCCACCACCAAGAAGACCCTCTGCTGGTTCCCTGTAACTTGGCTTCTTACAGCCAGGGAACTGCTAGAAGGCCCTCAGCGCTGGACCTCAGTGTCTGGGCAGAACAATGGGGGTGGAGGCGCTCCTTCCGATAAGTGTGGATTTTGAAGGATGACTGGGCCTTTCAGTTCTCATATTGTTTCAGAAGGTTTAAGTTAGGCAAGTTCCCCTTTAAATGTGAACTGAGTCATATCCCCCACCCTTATATGTGCACCACGTGGGAGCCAGTGAGGCTGCCAGCTGCTGTAAGCCTATCCTATTGTTAACCTTCAGGCTCAGGTCATCTGTGCAGAGTGCCCTGCAACTCCTGTGAAGCTCTAAAGCAGAACCTCTCGCAGGCCATACATGTTGTTTTAACATCTTGTCCTCTGGCTGCCTGCCAGCCAAAATCATTTGCTTCGAAGGTCAAACATGCAGCTTGCCAGTAATTCACACATGCTCGCTTCCTATGGAATGCAAATGAGATATTTCCATTGCCCCTCCGCCCGTTATGTTTTGCTTGACAAGTGTCTGTACACCACTTAAAACAATATTTTTAGTCAATTAAGTCATTTGGCTTTTTCCTTTAAAGCAAGGGTAACTGAAACTGCATACCAGCAAGTCCTCAATACAGGCACCTTTTTGAGAATAAGGAAAAGAACTGGAAGAATTTACTTTCACTACTTGGAACAAAAAACCCTCTTTCCCCATCACATTAACATACCAGGGCAAAAATGGATCTAAAATACAAGCTCGTGGGCCTTTCAAACTTCAATTAAAATCAGTTTCAGCTCACAACCCTAGTTTTTAAAATATGTTGTGGCATCATCACCAGCTGCTCTCACCAGTAACAGAGATCCTGCAGTGAGTCATGGCTATGTGATTATTGAAAAGAAGAATTGTTTTAATCCGCTCTAACCTACTTTTTTATTTTAAACCCCACCCACCCCCGGCAAGGCTTCAGAGCTGCAGGCTGTGTCATTTGAGGGTAGAAACCAGTAGCACAGCTTCTTTTGACAGACAATAAATATCAACGTCACAGCAATGGAATTGGTTTGTTCAGGATCTGATAACAGGTAAGAGAAAACCACTTCGATGAATAGGAATCCAGTATACAAACTTAAGGTTGTTAATCAGTGCAAACCTCTGCTGGTTTACTCAAAAATAAGACTTGCTGAGTTCAGCATGGCCTGCTCTAGAG